TCTTTTACTATTGCTGGAAAATTAGTTGAACTTCAGGTTGCAGATTTTTCGAATGAGCGGTAAGACTCAGCTGTTCGAAGGGACAACTACGGCATTTTAATTATATCCATGTCATTTTCTGGACCCTTCTTCCATAGCAGGGTGCGTTCCATCGCTGGGGAAAATTTCTGCAGAATACAGCCTACCCGAACTTTCCCCTATGGTACGACACCACTATTTTTCCCTGCCTTTTTTCATCCTGCATGCCATCTTACGAGCTATACAACACATGTGAAACGGAAAAATCGCAGAAAATCCACTAGCAATCGGAAAATTTTCTCGCGCTCAGAAAAAAAAACGTTCCCACCCGAATACGACCCCTTTCCCTAATTCCGGCGACCAAATACGACCCCCACCAAGGATTGCCCAGCGTAGGACCTATTCTGTTCCATACGGTCAATCAGTGCTAGACAGTAAGAAGTCCGATTCTCTCCGATTCATAAATATATTTAGAAGAAGAAGCTGCCGGAACGACAGCATAGGTTTTTCTAAATCACTGAGAGGTGCAGACGAAGGACTACAGTCCCTCCAGTCTCACTAGCAAAAAGAATGTCCTGCGGAGAAGTATGACTCATAACTGGTTAGCGTGAACCAGTGTACGGTAAGGTGCACGAGTGAGGTGAGAACTTGACAAGGCAAGAAGCTGATGTGATGAGACAGAGTTGAAGGGCCGATTTCTCATCAAATCGGGGGGTGTTTTCCATGCACGGCAGCAATGGATGTGTTTTTGATGAAGGCGTTAGAATGATGATCGACAAACCGGTGCCACCAGGTCGATCAGACGGAGAGAGATGTCGAGCGAGTGACTCGACAGTGGTTAAACGGGCTATGTCTGAAATCTATAGAAGAAGTGAAGAAGCCGATGATGGGTACTAAAATGCTTACTAAATGGTAACCCTTCTAGGTCAAAAGTGGCTGCATATAATGTGCCCTATGGTACCTTTCCTTGAAGGCACAATGCAGAATAGCTACTTGCTCAAAAATAGTAACAGGGTTGCTACATACTGGGAAAGTGACAAAACGAAGTTAGACGGCGAAAAACAGCTCAAAAACTTTGTTCTGCACAGGGTTGGACGAGTATTTTAGGACGAGTTTCCTTTGGCATCGTGCCACAACCGCTTCGATAGATATGGCTGCACTTGTGTATCCATACATCCATATAGCAACGCTCCATATCAATTGTACTTTATAAATGAAGCGATATGAGTACCAGAGTCGACGCGGCTGTCCGGGCATTTGTGGGCGGACTGCTGCGGTGGGCGTCTTGGTCGCACGTTGCACCTTGGTTAGGCTCTGTACTGTGCCCTAGGTTGGAGATGGTGCAACACAGCAATAGTCTTGTGCGCTAGGAGTATCGACCGCGTACGCCTTGTCGATTTATCGGGCTACTTGCCTTTGAGAATAAAACAGCTTATGAAGTATATTGCAGCGTGAAACACTAATGACATCCATGTTGGACATCCCTTAGAGGAAATCTCAAAAAACTTTATTCTCTTCGGCTGTGGAAGAGCTCGTGAGCAGACCCGGTCAGGGGTCGGGCCAGTGGCTCCGTTCCGCCAGATGTACAGGTCATATATCATTTCGATCAAAATGCATGACTAAAACACATGTTTGAAGAATCGAGGGTCGGAGGGAGGGGTATAAGCTCTAGATAGAAACCATTCTGATGGTCCTTCTATTGCCACCTAAACACCTACCTTCAACTAATTTATCACGGCCAGCTGAGTACGAGCCTAAAGTGTAGGGCCTGACCATTGGTTCAGGCCTTTCTGTTAGAACATCTTGGTTTTTTGGGAGGCGGTGGCGCATTGCCTGAAATATTTAAAGCTGCTGAGTTTTCTCAATTCTTCTTATTTTAAGTGCACTATATACTCCTCTCCTCTCCACGGTCGAAGGACAGTAGTTCGGTGATAAAGTGCAGATCTCCTGAAAACAACTCCTATGTGATAAGGATTGGAAAGTTCAGGAGAATGGAAGGTCGAATAGGCAAGCTGAGGAAAGGGTTGAGAAGATGACCATTTTGCGAAAATTCCCTTCAAGGGCAGAATGTAACCATTGACCTCATCTTCCGCAGAATTGACCTCGATATTGCCAACCGAACGAGCTTTTCAGTTACAGGTTTCTAAGGCATAAATCCTTGCTCATTTTGGCCCTTTTACGAGTCCCAATGACTCTGTCTATTTTTAGCTAAGCATGCCGAAATATTCGGAATGTTGAAAACTATAAGTTCCGAGAATCATGAAAACTTTTATAGAACCTGGAGGGATGCAACGAGGTTTCTGAACGCTTGGGGGTGGATGTGCATTGACAACTCAAAGAAATTCGCACCGGTTTCACGAGTTCCGCCTCGCAGAGTTATCGGCAACATGTGAGCTATTTTTTTTAGAATCGGCACCTACGCGCTTCAAAAAAGTGCCAAATTGCTACACACAACTCAAAGGAACTAATACAAAAAGAAGTTACGATCATGAAAAAGACGTGGAATCAATGTGATGGCTGCCTACTAATGGGGTCTGAAGACGTTCACGGGATATATGTTTGCGGATGAGCACATATGTCTAATAATAACGGAATACAAATGCCAGACATGGTGCCGAAGCCGGAAGCCACGCTATATGGAACGAAAAAGTCGCGCCAGACGCCACTCTGCCCTCAGTCTTCACGGCATATACTAGCCGACTCAGGCACAAAAGTGAGCACACCGAATGAGCCAGCCGCCCATTTGCTCGTATGCCGGTCAAATGTGCGACAGTTGGAATCGTCAGTAACCGGTGGAGTAGCAGCTCCGACAAATTAGCCTCTGACGCTGTGACAGATTACTGTTGCCTATCGACCGACGAAAGGGCAGGGGACATAGCAAGAGGCAAGGCACACAAGCTGAACTCGGAACCGAGGAATGGAATTACCTCCGAAACCAGCTCATCAGAATAAGGAAAACCGTACTTAAGAAGTTTGACAACGGCTTCTTCAGAGTCGCTCGCTGTTAAAGACAAAACCTAGCGATCATTCGTCATCTTAGATAGTGATAGGGGTTTCATATAGACGGCAAGGTTCTGAGCAACTCGATGTGAAGAAGAAAAGCAGAAAAAATCATGAGAAATGCCCTAGATAGAAACCCATTCCATCCCAGTTTGTACGTGCTCTGTTAATTCCCTCTCCAACACAATCCGCGCAGCTGATTCACCGATAAGAACTCTACGACCGTACAAAAGACAATTTTCGTGCTTTATCGTCCTGAAGCTTCGATTTTCACTAGAAAGAGGCCTTGAAGGCGAAGTCACTGGGGAAAAGGAGGCGTCACTGAACCTATCCTGCGCTATAGCGCCCTTCCCTTACATTCTTTTTTGTCGCGAAACCGGTACAAAGTTGTTCGTCGGGAACCACACTACCCTCTCTATGCCATATTTTCAGCTTCTATACCTGACCCCGGATCGTTCCTTTAAGCAGTGCCAGAAGAAGATATTCTCGCAAAAAAACTTCCAGTGCTCTTGAATAGTCCTACCAGTATTCACTTTAATCGATGACTAGGATAGAAAAAAGTAGATGAAACGTAAAGCAGTGAAAAGGAAAACTGCGATAATTTATGTAACATGGCTCACTTGGTTCTAGTCAAAGCCTTCTCGCAAACCAGAGAAGCAGTAAACCTTCTACGTTAGGCTCTCCGCCGTGGGATCCAAATATGTGGTTCCTTTTCGCTAAAATTGTCACAAGTGCTCCTCCCAAGTGATTGTCGTAGACCTCCCATTTCTCTAGGGATTCTTCTGAATTCCGTGGTCAGACTGATTCGCATTACTTCACTAGCCCCAACGAGCTCACTTTCCAGAACCTCTTTCATGAGTTAATGCCGCGGTTCTAACAAACGTTTGCATTCTGCACCTGTATGAATGCCTTAAATGCAGGCAAGGTCCGGAACGAAAGCGTAGGTAAAGCTTACAACATGAACGGGAAGTTCTAAAGGACCCGTCAGTGGAGAGAAAACGCAAACTAAAAGTTGGAAATGTCTCCGACAGGATCCCTCTAGCCTCAAGCAGTTTTAGGCGTGTGAGGCGAAAAGACCGCGAGCTGGGGCATCCAGTCAGCTGATTCCTCAAAAAACGCCCCGCGACATCACAGGCGACAATGTCGAATCCACTCAAGTTTTTGGTGGCATCGTTTTCCGCCGGAAGGCGAGATTTGTGGGCAGGAGCACTGAGGAGAAGAATCTGTCACCGGGACTAATTTACGTCTTGACGCCTTTACTACGAAATATGGTAGAAGGGTCCGTTGCGGACTACACCACCTTCGCACATCATTTACATTTTCATGGATCACTGCTGAATAATCTTTCGAAGCGGCAATCAACTTTTCATTAGTTTTCTTTTCTTATCCTTTTTTTAGCCACGGAGGAAGAAGGGGACTGTGGAGTATGATGAAGGATTTTGAAGGAACGGAGCAGAAGAACTTTACCCAAGCAAACGTAACCCTTCAGGTTCAGCCAGTGAAAGGCAATGTTCTCATCTTCGCATACGAGTACGGCTATCCTTTCAAGAACAATGAGTGAATGGTCCGGAATGTAAGAATTTCTCTGAATTCCATACACGGATAGCAGTACTTCAAGCAAGAATAAATGAAAAAAAACTTTGAATGCTTTTTTCCATCATGAGGAACCCCTGTGTCATGCGAGGAACTCTTGTGTAATTTTGGAACGAAGTGTACAGTTTTAGATAGTTCTGAAGTTGCGGCTAGTGAGAAGTAGTTTACATTTACCTTAACAGAGAAGTGCAGCATCTTCAGGCGACTTCGGCGGAAATTTTCAGCTGATCAGCGGAATGACATTTCAATCAAATCAAAACAAAAAGTTCACACGAAAAATAGCATTAGTATGCTCAGAGAATGCACATGAGTAATATAAACATTGATGTTATTCACTTTATTATAAATTTCACTATAAAAGTGACCGAGAAGCCTTTTGTCAGCCGAAAATGAACTTCGTGACGCTGGTGCTCCTTGCATCGTCGACGCTCGTTTTTGGTGAGTCCCTGAATCTTGAAAGTTTGAACTTCGGAAGCTCTCCAGAATAGAGATCACTTCCTTTGTTGTTAGCTCAACTACGGCAGAAAATTCGTTGAACTATTTAATATAACAGTCTCTTTTAAAGGAACACCTCGCAAAAAATAGAGAATCGGAGTCATCACTATACAGCGTTGTTCACTGCGTGTCAGGGGGCATATCAATGAGGCCGGCTTGGCGCATTGCCAGCCCGCTTCCCATCAGTTATTGAAGCGAGTAGGCGAGCTTCCCATTAGTTATTGAAGCGGGTAGGCTACAAAAACCGGTAGAAAAGCATTTTATACAAACGACGTACCTGCTGCTTGCTGAAAAAAACGGGCTTAGCGCCGCGCCAAGCCCATCCCCTTGACACGGCCTGCAGCCCATCACCCGCAACGAAAAGAAGTGTGAATAGGTGGCCTGGTTCTAACCAACAATCATATTACTCTTTTCGAAGCGGTGAAGTGCACAGAAATCTGGATAGCTAAGTTCATCACATGAAGCTCGAGCCGACGCCACGTGGTTCCATGTTACGTACTAGTACTAACAGGCCGCTCGTTTACCTGCGTTCCTGCCAGCACGTGCCAGTTCCTCCCATCAAATAGTTTTTTTTACGAAAGATATCGTACCTTCGGCACTCGTACTTGTATCCCCATTAGCCACGGTGCGGAATCGTGAAACGGTGCCTCTAGGAACAGTGCACACTTAATACTTGCAAGACGGCATGACTGACCATGATCAAAAAGGCTTTAGTAAGTGTCTCTTTCGTCACCTTGAGGCAGTCCAGCCCGGATGGTTCCCGCTCGGCCTAATGATCTAGTGATGAGCGCTATGTGGTGTGCTCCATAATTTGCTCAGCAAATGAATGAATACGAGAGTCAGGAACGGTCGTCCGTTTGTGGGCGGGCGGGCGAGGAAGGTTTTTGGGACCGGATTGTTGTTGCTCGATAGGGCATTATAGGGGTACCCTCCTTGGAAAAGGCGCCACGGAGCGCTTGTCCGAGGTCACGGAATTCTCTTAAGCCAGTCGTATAAATCCTTCATCTGTATAGCGACTTATCGTGCCAACTGCCTTTAAACGTACGATGAATGAAGCTGGTGGGCTGGGATAGCTGAAGGCTATTTCGGAATCCACCCGCTATCCACAACACGCTGCACGTGAGTCGATGTCGACATTTCGCAGCGAACAACGTCCAGGTGTAAGGAACAGCGAAATGTGAGAGGATGCAGACAAGTAGCGCGTTTGTTTATGGTCAGACACATGCCTCGTCGTGCGGCACGTTGCGTCTCTGTGAGTGGAATCCGAAACGGCATCTGGCTATCTCTTCCCTCTAGCCTCATTTTGGAGCATTTTGTAGCGATGAAAGTGGTGTACCTTTGCAACTGCTGACCTTTCTCGCTCGCAATGAAAAGGACGAGGATCCTCGAAAGTGGCGACAACGTATACTTACCTTTACTCTAAGGCAACGTATCTGAAAGGTAGAATGTTAATTATATCTCTGTTGAAGGATGTCCAGACAAATCGCAGGATGTTCGAGTGAATCCAACTGAACCAAGTGTATCTCGCCCGAAACGGCATGTGCCATGGATGGTGGACGAGGCTTACAATGTTCGCGATGAAGAGTGGTGTGAGTTCAGCATAACTGGAAAAAACCAAGTCATGACCTCTCCATCACAGAAGCGAAAGAACAGCATTTAGACAAGTATGACTGCAGGAAAGTCAACTATCTGCCCGAGTGTGAAGGCGAGAATGGTGGCATCTTCAATGGAAAGAGCGTAGGAGATTTCTTAGCTTTTCTTCTGCAGAAAGTTTTCAAGTGATAAATGCGAGATCCCCAACAAAGGGTGGGTCGTATTTGGCCGCCAGGAGAGGTGGGGTGGTATTTGGGCTGAGGAAAATTTCGTTTGATAGTTGATTTTTTTCGCTTCACGAACTTGTAAAGGGGGGGGGTCGTACTTGCTATATGCTAATTGTTCGGGGGGGGGGGGGTCGCTTTACTTTCGGGCCTTGCCAGGGTGGTTGGGAGTGTAGCTGACTTTTGTGATGTTTCGGTTTCACGGCGTACTATATACCCTCTCCGCTCGACGGCAAGATTTTTTGGGGACCTTGTTCAGGAAAATTTCGGAAAATGTGGCAGGAAGCTGGGAAAGAATTTGAAATTGGTGGAGGGGTCTAATGCTTGCAACTTTTTCCTGTTTACATGTGCTATTGTGCCCCTACGCCCACCCTCTCTTCCCCGCTCGAGCTCGATTCGATGAAAGAGGACAAGGGCCGAGGGGGGGGGGGAGGTTCGCACCAACACAGCCGTCCCCCTAAAAAAAGGGTGGAGTGATCGTACGGACTAAATATCTCCAACCGAATGATGTCCGTGGTGAAAAACTTGTTTCAGTCTTTAAACCTATGAAGTAAAGCATAGAGGTTCCACTTCAGAGGGTTGGCACAAAGACTCAAAGTGCAAGACGGTGATCTTCTGACGATTACGTACGTTCTTTAAAAAAAAATTCAAGCTTCGAAACAGAGTTTCATTCCAAATTTTTCTCAGGCGTGCGTTGGCAGCGAACGATAAGGAGTGGTGAATCAGCATTGGCAGAGCTGGTTGCTAGTAGGTAGCGCTGAAATTCACCAAGTCGAAGTCCGAAGACCCTCATCAAATTAAGGCTTAACGGCAGTGGCACGGTTCTGGGGGCTGGGCGGTTCTTCGCACAAAACCATTGGTGAGATGCTTGAGTTCAGTGCTGTATTAGATATTCTTGCTGCCTTTGCAGCCCCTTCCACTGGACACGCGAAGAATGCCCCGCCTCTACTACGCTACTACACTGCGGCCACCACTTCCTTTAATACTTGCTTTCGTTCAGATTATTCGATGCCAACGATAGAGGCAAATGGGTGGCTTGCATGTCAATAATCCAGGAGGAAATTGAAATCAGAAGATCCTCTGACTCGTAATTCCAGCTGAATGAACAAGAAGATTAGATTCGAATTTCACAGCAAAATGTTGCCCGTTCAGCTTCTTCAATGGAAACAGTCTATCAGCATCAAATCAATTTTCGGTAATATACGAGAGTATGTAACGAGTTCACGAAGAGTTAGGGCAACGCACGGATATCCAGGGGAAGGGCAAAAAAAGACACTGTCGTACCGGAGTCACATGAACAGACAAAGTTCGCGACTCAGGCAGAGGACTTAGATAACGGAGTAACCAGGCGAAAGGTACGCCGAGATGCCTCCTCTATGACAGGAGCCTGGCTGTCACCGATCACGCTTCATGTACACCAAAATATGACATCATTCCAGTGCGCAGCCTGACTGAAAGAAGACCTTTGGAATTCATGTCCCTCCAAACACTGCGAACTTCTAGTTGGAAGTAACCCATGGACAGCTAATTGGGGAACATACTCTCGATCCTGAAAACACCTGCATCGATCGGCAAGCTCCGACAAACGTCGCTACTGCTAGACATCATATACACCGCAGTCGTCGCAAGGCCTCGGGTTGGTAGTATGGACCCGGAAAGTTCTGGATGTGAAAGATGGTATATTTCTTCTCGTGGACCTCGAACTGAGAGTGAACGCTGACGATTAAATGGACAAAAAGAAGAAATATCTTTCCACCATGTCGTCGCCCTACGTGTGTCGGAAACTTTGGTACTGCTGACACGGATTGAGTGGGCTTCACACGAATAGAAGGGCGTTGGAAAACTCTCGCCTACTTGGAATGAACGGGTTGAGTACCCTGGAGAAGACGGAATATCTAAGTTGCATCACCTGGCCTGACGACCTCATGTTACCCGGTTTGAGGCGAGCACAACAGGGTGGGTTTCAGTGGGGAGCCAAATCAACATTCGCATGATCAGTACCCACGCCAAGACGCGTGAACAGAATCTCTCGAAGCGGCGTCCTCCCGGGCTGTGGTGGAGCATACAGTTGGTATTCATATGCTTTCTAATATGCTGGTAGAGAAGTCCGATCGTCAGTAAACGTGTGACTTATAAACGCCTCGAAGTCAAAGAAAACAATATGTCTTTTTGGCTCACCTTTGTATATATCCATATCTCAATGTGAAGAGGGCCGGCTGAACGCTTCGTTGAATAAAGAGCGCGATGTATTTAGTGGGATATTTCCATTCAAAACACCACACATTTTTGTCTGTTACTGAGAAAAGAAATTGGTGCAATCTCCAGACATCGAAAGCATCTCTGAATGATGCACAGCCGCTGCTGTGTTAGATGAAGTACAAGGGCCATGTCCACTCTACCCTCCCGGAGAATAGTAGGCCTTCTATCCCCCTCCTCACACAATCCTATCGCACCCATCAATCGTGGCGGGGGGGTTGAACGGTTTTGGATGTTCCAATAAATGCAGACTGTGGCGGAGGGTGCCCACATCAAGCC